CAGATGAGTAAGCATTGTGTACACAAGGCTTTTCATATTTGTTAATGTAGGGTCATGGCTGCTTCTGGTCCATCATTGCCCTGCACATTTCTCCACTGAAGAAAGGGGTTTAGTTTCCCATTTAGCTAGTGCAAGGTTATCTGGTGTATCATATTATCAGCTCACCCTTCCTCCCTCCTCCCATTCCTTCCGTCTTTCCTTCCTGCCTTCCTTTGGCATCCCTTGAACACTTCCTTAATGATAATTCTACCAGCAGATTCTGGGAGACTTCGATTTCTATTGGTTCTTTTCATGGACCCCATGTCTTAGTCTTTAATTTTCTTCATTTTGTGTTCTGCTTTTCAGTTAAATATATTTTTTTGATAGGCAGAGTTAGTGAGAGAAAGAGAGAGAGAGAGAGAAAGAGAAAGGTCTTCCACTGGTTCACCCCCCAAATGGCTGCGCTGATCCAAAGCCAGGAGCCAGGTGCTTCCTCCTGGTCTCCCATGCAGGTGCAGGGCCCAAGCACTTGGGCCCATCCTCCACTGCCTTCCCAGGCCACAGCAGAGAGCTGGACTGGAAGAGGAGCAACCGGGACAGAATCTGGCGCCCCAACCAGGACTAGAACCTGGGGTGCCAGTGCCGCAGGTGGAGGATTAGCCAAGTGAGCCGCGGCGCCGGCCTCAGTTAAATATTAATTGAATAGAATATTAACTTTTTTTAAGATTTATTTATTTATTTGAAAGAATTATACACAGAGAGGAGAGGCAGAGAAAGAGAGAAGTCTTCCATCCGATGGTTCACTCCCCAGTTGGCTGCAACAGCCGGAGCTGCGCCAATCCGAAGCCAGGAGCCAGGAGCTTCTTCCCGGTCACCCATGTGGGTGCAGGGGCCCAAGGACCAGGGCCATCCTCTACTGCTATCCCAGGCCACAGTAGAGAGCTGGATCAGAAGAGGAGCAGCTGGGACTAGAACCGGCGCCCATATGCGATGCCGGCGCATCAGGCCAGGATGTTAACCTGCTGCACCACAGCACCGGTCTCTAGAATATTAACTTTTAAAAGTTTTAAATTTTGGAGTTGGCATTATGGCATAGCAGGTAAAGCTATCTCCTGTGGTGCCAGTATCCCATACGGGCACTGGTTCAAGTCCCAGTTGCTCTACTTCTGATCCAGCCCCCTGATAATGGCCTGGGAAAGCAGTAGAAGATGGCCCAAGTGCTTGGGGCTCTGCACCCACATGGAAGACCCCAGATGCAGCTCCTGGCTCCTGGTTTTGGATTGGCCCAGCTTCGGCTGTTGCAGCCATTTGGGGAGTGGGCCAACGGGTGGAAGGTCTCTCTTTTCCTCTCTGTAACTCTGCCTTTCAAATAAATAAATGTTTAAAAGTGTTTTTTTTTTAATTAATTTATTTATTTGAAAGGCAGAGTTACACAGAGAGAGGAGAGGCAGAGAGAGAGAGAGAGTCTTCCGTCTGATGGTTCACTCCCCAATTGGCCGCAATGGCTGGAACTGTGCCAATCTGAAGCCAGGAGCCAGGAGCTTCTTCTGGGTCTCCCATGCAAATGCAGGGGCCCAAGGACTTGGGCCATCTTCTGCTGCTTTCCCAGGCCATAGCAGAGAGCTGGATTGGAAGTGGAGCAGCCAGGTCTGGAACCAGCACCCATATGGGATGCCAGCGCTTCAGGCCAGGGCGTTAACCCACTGTACCACAGCGCTGGCCCCAAAGTTTTTTATTTTAAAATAATTTCAGATTTACAAAAGAGATGCAGAGATAGTGCAGTGGTAAAGTGCCCACTGCAGACGGCAGCTTTACCTGCTACACCACAGTGACAGCCCCTCCTTAGTCAATTCTGATCTGTGATATTTTCTCAGTCATATTTGACACTTTACTGTTGGCTAGAGGTTTTATACTCTTTCTCAAAACTTGAATTTGTCTGATGTTTCTCATGATTAGCCTGGAGTTGTCTATTTTGGGTGGGGGAACAGAAGTGAAGAGCCCTTCTCATTGCTTTATATGGAATACATTATGCCAGCATGGTTTATCTGATGTTAATCTTGATCACTTGGTTAAGGTGGTGTTTGTCACGTTTTTCTACTATGAAATTTCCATTTTCCTTCCTTTCCATAAGTTATTCATTAAAAGGAATCATGGGGTGGGCCTTCCTGATGCCAGCTCCCTAATAATGCATACTGGGGAGGCAGCTCCTGATGGTTCAGGTGGCTGAGTCCCTGCCATCCATATGGAGTTTTTGTTTCCTGACCTTGGCCTGGCCCAGTACTGGCCCTTGAGAGCATCTGGGGAGTAAACAGGCAGATGGGAGATTCTGTCTCTCTCTCTCTTTCTCTACTTTTCAGACAAATAAAATAAATAAATAATTTAAAAAATGGTATCTGGGAAGGGGCCAGCTTTATGGTATAGCAGGTTAAGCTTCTGCCTGCAACATCGGCATCCCATATTGTCATTTGTTCAAAACCCAGCTGCTCCACTTCCGATCCAGTTCTCTGCTAATGTGCCTGGGAAAGCATCAGAAGATGGCCCAAGGCTTTGGACCCCTGTATCCACGTGGGAAACCCAGAAGGTGTTCCATGCTCCTGACTTTGGCCTGGCCCAGCCCCATCTGTCGTGCCGATTTGGGGAGTGAACCAGTGGATGGAAAGTCTCTCTCTCTCCCTGTCTCTCTTCCTATCTGTAACTTTGCCTTTCAAACAAAACAAAACAAAACAAAACAAACAAACAAAAAACCAGGTATCTGGTGCCAGGATTGTGGAGCAGTAGTTAAGTCACCATGTGGGATGCTCACATCTCCTATCACAGTGCTGGGATTGAGTCCTGCCTCTGCTTCCTGTCCGGTTTCCTGCTAATGTGCACCCTAGGAGGCAGAAGGTAATGGTTCAAGAATCTGTGTCCCTGCTACCCATGTGGGAGACCTAGGTGGAGATCCAGCCTCCTGGCTTCAGTCTGTTGCCAGTGTTTAGAAAGTCAACCAGTGAGTAGATGGAAGATCACTCACTCTCTCTCTCTGTCATTCTGCCTTTCAAATAAATAAATAGTTTTTTTTTTTTAATCGCCCCCAAGATTTTTATGAAAACTACTATTCTTTTTTTTTTTTTTTTTTTTTTTTGACAGGCAGAGTGGACAGTGAGATAGAGAGAAAGGTCTTCCTTTTCCGTTCCATTGATTCACCCCTCAATGGCCGCTGTGGCCGGCGCACCACACTGATCCAAAGCCAGGAGCCAGGTGCTTCTCCTGGTCTCCCATGCAGGTGCAGGGCCCAAGGATCTGGGCCATCCTCCACTGCACTCCCGGGCCACAGCAGAGAGCTGGACTGGAAGAGGAGCAACCTGGACAGAATCCAGCACCCCGACCGGGACTAGAACCTGAGGTGCCGGTGCCGCAGGCGGAGAATTAGCCTAGTGAGCACCGGTGCCGGCCTATAAATAGTTTAAAAAATGGTAACAGGGCAGGCGCTCACTTGGCTAATCCTCCACCTGCGGCACCGGCATCCCATATGGGCTCCAGGTTCTAGTCCCGGCTGCTCCTCTTCCAGTCCAGCTCTCTGCTGTGGCCTGGGAAGGCAGTGGAGGATGGCCCAAGTGCTGGGGCCCTGCACCTGCATGGGAGACCAGGAGGAAGCACCTGGCTCCTGGCTTTGAAACGGCACAGCGCACCTGATGTAGCAGCCATTTGGGGGGTGAACCAACGGAAGGAAGACCTTTCTCTCTGTCTCTCTCTCTCACATCTAATTCTATCTGTCAAATAAATTAATTAAAAAAATGGTAACAGTACAAAACTATCTTTATTTCAGCTTTATTTTCAATTAATGTTTCTGAATTTCACTATGGGTTTATTAACTAGAACTCTGGTTGTTCTGGAACCCTGGTTGTGTATAATACAGTGAGCCCAAGGGTTTTTAATCTCATAGTCCAAGGGGAAAATTATTGAAAAAAGAGTTTATTGATGGTAAGATATGGTTGCTACATTTACTTTACTAAATAAATACATTCAAACAAATTTTTTTTTTCATTTTATTTGAAAGTGGAGAGACAGAGATCTTCCATCTGCAGGTTCACTCCCCAGTTTCCTACAAAAGCCAAAGGACCGGACCAGACTGAAGCTAGGAGCTCAGAATTCCATGAGGTCTCCCACGTGGGTGACAGGGCCATCATCTGCTGCTTCCCAGGATTCTCATTAGCAGGAGCTGGGACTCTGATACGGAAGGGGACATCCCATGTGGCAACTTAACTGCTACACCGCTCACTAAATAAATACATTTCAAAAATCTGCTAATGCCGTCATTTTGTGAAAGAAAAAATACTTTGCCACTCAAAAAAATAAAGTATGACAAAATGCATTTCTTTAAAGTGATTAGTATAATTAATTAATAAATGGAATGATTAAACACAATTTAATTTTATTCACTTCTGAAATACTTATTTTCTCCTTTTCCATGAGTGAGTAAAAACATCATGGACGGTGTTTGAGAAGCGCTGGTCCAGTGCGTCTTCTTTACAAACACAGAGCTGCGGCTGTCTTTGTGGCACAGCAGGTTAAGCCAGTGCTTGTGATGCCAGCGTCCTATATTGGAGCACCAGTTCCAGGCCCAAAGCTCAGCTTTTGATCCAGCTCTCTGCTAATGTACCTGGGAAGGCAGCAGAAGATGGTTCAAGTGCTTGGGTTCCTGCCACACACAAGGGAGACCAGAATGGAGACCCCGGCTCCTGCCTCAGACCTGTAGTGGCCTTTTAGGGAATGAACCAGCAGATGGAAGATCTCTGTCTCTCCCTTTGTCCGTCCGCCTTTCAAATATACACAAATGACTAACTCTTAAAAAAAAAAAAAAACACAAACACACACAAAAAACCCACGAATTGATGTCTTCTTATTATGCTGTTTTCTTCCACAGGTAAAAGCAGTTGTCATGGTCTTTCTTTTTCATAAATATACAATAAGCTTTTAGTATGAGATTGAATAGAGTCATAATGAATTAAATCAAGTGCTCAGTGTTGGGTTCCTTGTAGTGACTGACCATGAGCTGCGCTGTGATGTCAAGGTCGATGTGATAGACAGCATTGAAATCGTATCTCGGACCCGAGAACTCTGTGTAGACGATTCACCACTGGAGCTGAGGGTGAGAGCCTTGGATGCTGCAGGTGAGAGCTTCAGAGGACTCACGACAGCCACCCAAAGCAAAGCAATGCGCACTCGGGAACAAGGACTCGAGTGATAAAAGTGAACTGGAAACAGTGCTGATTTTCTCATTTGGAATTCATGTAGATGAGGAATTAATAATTCTGTATAATTCAATATATTAGCTATGTTATTTCATAATTTTTCCTTGCTATTATTATCTCTGAACTTTACTTAAATATCCAAATTCTGTCACTGAGCTTCTGCTGATTGCCCTTAGATCAACAATTAGGAACATGTCTTGGCAATTATTGCTAACTCTGTTTAAAACAATTAGTTGACTTTCTATAGGTCAGGAGGATTTAACGTAAACCTGTGAAAAGTTTCCTGGTTTTAAGTTAGTCTTTCTTGAGGATAATTTTATATTGCTTTTAATATATTATATAATGCTATAATAAGGCATTAAAGCACTTAAATTTATTTCCACTTTCTTTGTAAACTAGTAAAATGTAATTTTAAAATCTGAAGAATGACCTAGTTTTTATACAAATTTGAAGGAACCAAGTTTAAGGATGTTTATCAAACATCAGGTAGACATAAATACCCCTTTGTGTAGAAAGGAACAAAGAATGTGGCACAATTTTTGTGAACCAGAAGTTAATCAACTTGAGTCTTTCTTACTTTCAAAAAGTTTATGCAGCAGCATTTGTTTTGTTTGTGTAGGAGTCTTCCTCATGTCTGTGTTTTAATTCATTAATGAAAATACTTCAATTTGCTACTGAAAGCACCTAAAGATAATTTTCTAGTTAGGTTTCCCTTTCTTGTTGAAGAGACCTGTTTTGAGTATTTGATTCCGTCTTCTCTACTTTTGGCTTGCTCTGCAGGAAATACTTTCAGTAGCTTGGCAGGGATGACGTTTGAGTGGAGCATTGCCCAGGATAACGAGTCAGCAAGAGAAGAACTGTCTAGCAAAATTAGGTAAACTTGAAACCAAACAAATTATCTGGCTTTGAGGGAGACACCTGCCATTGAGTGGTACACAGAGCAGCAACCCTTTGTGTGGACTTTAATAGGCCTGCTGTCTGGACTTTTTTTTGACACAGATAATTCTCCAGGGGAAATGTCTTTGTTAGAATGACGTATGGTGTGGGTGTGGACCCCTTATGATAACTTATTTTGGGCCACTGTAAAGGAGTCCATGAACTCAGGAAGATACAGTTTGAGCCAGGTGCATCTTCTGGCTGTTTTGTTACCCGTGCTGAAATAGAGTGAGTAAGATGTTAGTGTGAAGTTTTGTCTTTAGTGCCAAGATAGAACTCAAACAATTCAAAGTTTAGTTGCACAACAGTTTTAACCATTACGTATTTTTCTTACAGTCTTTGTGGAAAACAAAATTAAAAAAAGACTTTTTACATTTTTTAGACATTGAAAAAACCATTTTAAAATTTTCTTAGGAACTTTCTTTTCTTTCTTTTTTTTTAAATTTAATTTATTTATTTTATTTTATTTTTGACAGGCAGAGTGGACAGTGAGAGAGAGAGAAAGGTCTTCCTTTGCCATTGGTTCACCATCCAATGGCCGCCCCGGCCGGCGCACCACGCCGATCCGATGACAGGAGCCAGGTGCTTCTTCTGGTCTCCCATGGGGTGCAGGGCCCAACCACTTGGGCCATCCTCCACTGCACTCCCTGGCCACAGCAGAGAGCTGGCCTGGAAGAAGGGCAACCGGGACAGAATCTGGCACCCCAACTGGGACTAGAACCCGGTGTGCCGGCGCTGCAGGCCGAGGATTAGCCTAGTGAGCTACGGGTGCCGGCTCTTAGGAGCTTTCAAAGACATTGTTTGAAATGTTGCTAGAAACAAATCTTATTTTATATCTTTAGGATTCTGAAATACTCTGAAGCAGAATATTCTCCCCCAGCCTATATAGTTGAAATGGAAAAAGAAGAGAAACAAGGAGATGTGATTTTGGTGTCTGGCATCAGAACTGGAGCTGCTGTTGTAAAAGTTCGAATTTTTGAACCATTCTATAAGGTGAAAAGTTTGTACAATAAACTTGCATTTAATAGTCTTGACTATAGAAAATATAGCTCCTTATATTTATCTATAGAAGTTCCCTTGCTTGATATGATTTTGGCCAATAGTGGGTCATTTCATTGAAAAGGTCATCTGCAGTGGATTAGCATAAAAATGCTTATCTTTGTTAAACATTTTATTACCTAATTAGAACTGCAAATATGATTGGCAGGTTTTTTTAAACCATATAGCTGGATTTTATTCACCAGTTCTTTATTGTAGGCCCAAGGCCTTGCTTTGACCGTGAATTCACTGATTAGAAATGTACACAATATTTGTTGCATAAGCTATGTTTTCTTTGATAGTTAAGTGAAAATTTAGAATGTGTGAAGCAGATTGAGTACAGATTTTGTATTTTTCAAGGGTTTTTATGCAATCTTTTATATTTTTACATGTACCTAATTTGATAGCACAAGATAACTTCAAAAAGTTAGTGGAAAATAGAATTAAAATTAAGCTTACCAGGGCAGCTGTTTGGTCAACAGTGAAGACAACGACCCACATACCACACTGGAGTACCTGGGTTTGATTCCCAGACTGCAGCTCTGCCTCCTGCTTTCTGCTAATGCAGGCCCTGGGAGGCAGCAGTAATAGTTCACGTAATTGGGTTCCTGCCACCCACAAGGGAGACTTGAATTGCATTCCTGGCCATTTGCAGGCATTTGAAGAGTGAACTAGCAGATAGTTCTGCCTGTCACTTTGTCTCTGCCTCTCAAATAAATACATAAAATGAATTTTACAAAAAGTTTACTTAGGTACATTTTTGAAATCATTCACAGTTTTTCCACAATAGCATTTTCCATGAACTTTTTGAAACCCCTTCATGTGCATGAATTTCAAAAATATTTTCCACCAAAGTAAATTTATCTCTTCATTCCATTTTTCCATGAACTTTTTGAAGTACTCTCATATTTGAAGCTCACCTTTAATCTCTTTTTAAAACATTTAACATTTTTGTAGGAGTAACAGCTCTTTTCACATCCATAATTTTTGTTTTAATGTGATTGTAATTACAAGTCCAACTGGCATAAAAAAGTTTGAAAAAAAAACAAGTAAGTGTCTTTTGGTAAGCATTTACTTGAAGAGGCAGGAATACAAATGTATATGCATGCTACAGAGCATCCTACCAACTTTGTGTTGGGTAAGTCTTCACTAGAATCGATATATTCAACAGGGAGTGAAAAGTAACAATCTGGCAAGTCTGTTAACTGAAGGTTTGTTGAAAAGAATTTTTGTAACATACAGCCATGTCTTCCCCTTTCTCATTTCACCTTACTTGCCTTTTTATTTACCTACTTCTCTTTAAGATTTTTCATTTTCTATTCTTAATCTGAGTGAGTTAGAAAGTTAATAAATGACTTAAAAAGTTTATATGGTATTGATTCATGATCACGTTTTCAGGCTAGCTGAAGTTATGACTTACTTAGGAAGCATTTTATTTATCTTAAAAATGTTTTAATTTATTTTGTGAAAAAAGGTAAATGTTTAGCAAGGAAGGTGGCCTTGAGGATTTTGCCTATTAGAAATTTTGGTTTTTCTCCTTTCTCTTTTAGAAAGTAGCAGCAGCATTGATACGTCTGCTTGTTTTGGAGAATATATTTCTTATACCATCTCATGATATTTATCTCTTAGTAGGAGCTTTTATTAAATACCAGGTTGCAAAAATGGTTCAGGGAAGAATGACAGGTAAGATGATATCTTTTCCTCTGACTCACATTTCCCAAGTCCTTTCTGCTGACAAATGACTCCAAATTACATAAGAAAAAAATACTATTTGTGTTTTCAGATTTTGTGAGAAAGCATTTCTTTCTTTCTTCCTTTCTTTTTTAAAAATTTATTTGAAAGGCAGAGTTAAGAGGGATAGAAAGAAAGATCTTCCATCCATTGGTTCACTCCCTAAATGGCCACAAAGGCCAGGGCTGGGTAAGGCAGAAGCCAGGAGCCAGGAGCTTCTTCAGGTCTCCCGAATGGTTGCAGTGCCCCAGGGAACTGGATTGGAAGCAGAGCAGCCGGGACTTGAACTAGCACCCATATGAGATACTGGCATTGCAGTCGGCAGCTTGATCTGTTATACCACAACGCTGGCCCTGAGAAAGTATTTCTTAGCCATCTTCTGCTACTTTCCCAGCCACGTTAGCAGGGGGGCTAGATTGGAAACCCAACAACTGGGACTCTGCTATGGGAGAGGGTATTGCAAGCAGTGGTTTAACCTGCTGTGCCACAATGCCAGCCTCACACACATCACTAGTTTTTAAGAACACAAGCATTACCAACAATAAACTCACATAATATTCCACTGCCCCAAATGGCTACATGTAGAAGTTCATCATTGTAGGAAAGAAATTAGAAGCAGATTGTTAGGAAAAGAGGTTTAGAATAGCCAGAGTGAATTTATTCAGAGAAAATAAATTCATAAAGGTGGGTGACCAACTGCCAGCGTGCACATTGATGGAACATGTGGCAGAAGGCTCTGACCACAGAGGCCGGGCCTTTTTATATTTTAGGTGGGCTAGGGGTGGGGGTAGCAGACAGAGGTGAATTCCTGGAACTGGTCTTTCAGGTGGCCATGTGGGGCCTTGGGAACCTGGGAAAGAATGCTGGGGTATAAAGGCAATAGGATGTGAGACCCAATTGAGACCCAAGGGCAAGGAATAAATTCCAATGTTCATCTCTCTTTTGGGCAATGAGCAAGAATGGCTAAGTCTTATGTCCTTGTTCCATCACAGATTTTAGGCCTGCTTCCCAATCTTCCTCTTATAATCAAACAATACACCATTATCTGCTGGATGGCTGCTGTCATTATATCTATGTATTTTTCATATCTTAATAGAAGTGAAATTTCCCCTGGAACATTATACACTGGAATTGCAAGACCATAGAGTTGCACAAAACGGGTCTGTTTCTGAGAAAGTGGCTTTACTGGATGAGAAAACAGCCACTGTGACTGCCTTCCAACTGGGCCAAACTAATCTTGTCTTCGTCCATAAAAGTATCCTTTTGTTCAAGTTTTAGCTGCCAATCTACTCTTTTTGAGCATTCTAGTCATATTCTTTGGTAAAATAATTTATTAAGAGTGATTCTAATACTACTACACTGTTTTTCTATGGGTTTTATTTTTAATAAAGAACTATCAATTATCTTTGTCATAATTTCTAACAAGGGATAAGGGATAGGTAGTGAAATGGAGAATAGTTGGAGCTTAGGGTCTTTTAATTTCTTTTTTTTTTTCAGATTTATTTATTTATTTGAAAGGCAGAGTTACCCAGAGAGAGGAGAGGCCGAGAGAGAGAGAGAGAGAGAGAAAGAAAGGTGTCTTCCATCCACTAGTTCACTCCCCAATTGGCCGCAACGGCCGGAGCTGAGCCAATCCAAAGCCAGGAGCCAGGAGCTTCTTCCAGTTCTTCCACGCAAGTGCAGAGCCCAAGGACTTGGGCCATATTCCACTCCTTTCCCAGGCCATGGCAGAGAGCTGGATCAGAAGTGGAGCAGTTGGAACTTGAATTAGCGCCCATATGGGATGCCAGCACTGCAAGCAGTGGCTTTACTGGCTAGGCCACAGCGCTGGCCCCTGGGATCTTTTAATTTCAATGCTAATTTGTAAGCTCCATCTATTATAATTTGTAGACTGAGGGAAATGAAATTTGAAGAAACATATGTTATTTTTATTTAACTTGTTCTTTCCCATTTTCACATGGTAATTGAGAAAATGTAGTATTGTCTGCTGTGGATGTTTAATGTTTTTTAAATTGAGTTGACAGTAATTTTAAAAAACTAACTAAACCTGTTCATTAGTGAGCAAAGAGCAGTACACAGTATTCTATTATAGTCAGTGAAAATTTAAATTCTCAGAACATTAAAAAATGATTTGGACTTCATTTCTCAGTGTTTAGTTTGTAAATATTTCCTGGTTTTGAATATTTGAATTAATTCATTCAGCAAATAGCTATTATACTACTACCACTTTGTTCTGGTTTCTGTGGATACAGACAGCTGTTTTAGCCAGGATAGTTAGGGAAGTCTTCTCTGACAAGGTGACATTGAGGCAATGAGCCATGCATATATCTGGATGAAAGAGCTCCGGGAAGAGGAGTCAGCAACTGCAGAGTTTCTGAAGCAGGAACGTGTTTGGCATGTTTAAAGAAGGACAAGGAAGACAGCAAGTCTGAGGTGCAGTGAATCGGGAAAGTAATGGAAGAGATAGTAGAGTAGGGGAGGGCTAGATTATGTAGGGCCTAATAGGATTACTCTCAGTAAAAATCCATCAGACTTGAAAGAAGATACTACTCCTTGTACAATAGTGTTAGCTGTTTGTGTTATTTGTCTAACACATAATAAGGAGTTGTTTGTTCTTTAGTCATTTTAAAGTGTCTAGGACTTCTGTCAGCAGATGCACTAGTACCTATTAAAAAACTAAGTTGTTCAATATTTTTTCCCAAAGAGACCTTTTACTTAATTAATGCAAATTTCATAAGTACAACTTTAGGAATATAGTTATTCTTCCCACCATACGCACTCTCCCACCCACACTCCCACCCTTCCTCCTCCTCCCTCTCCCATTCTTGGTCCCATTCTCCATTAGGATTCATTTTCAGTTAACTTTATACACAGAAGACTAACTCTATACTAAGTTAAGATTTCAACAGTTTGCACACACACACACTGTCACACACACACACACAGCCTGTTTGAGAACAAGTTCACGGTTTTGAGCCCCAGTTCTGTGTCAGGCACTGCCTTGAATTCCCCAGCCAGACTTACAATGAGCCTTTTGTCCTTCATATTCTCAGTTCACATTGTAATTTATTTCACAGTAGCAAATGCTAAAGTACATTCGATTTGCCTAATTTTTTAAAAAAGATTTATTTATTTATTTGAAAGTCAGAGTTACACAGAGAGAGAAGGAGAGGCAGAGAGAGAGAGAGGTCCTCCAACTGCTAGTTCATTCCTCAATTGGCCGCAACGGCTGGAGCTGCACGAATCCAAAACCAGGAGCCAGGAGCTTCTTCTGGGTCTCCCACGTGGATGCAGGGGCCCGAGGACTTAGGCCATCTTCTACTGCTTTCCCAGGCCATTGCAGAGAGCAGTTTTGGAAGTGGAGCAGCCAGGACTCGAACCAGTGCCCATATGGGATGCTGGCACTGCACATGGCAGCTTTACCTGCTGTGCCACAGAGCTGGCCCTAGATTTGCCTAATTTTTTATTTATTTACTTGAAAGACTTATTTATTTACTTGAAAGGCAGAGTTAGAGAGGAGAGACAAAGAAGGATCTTCCATCCACTGGTTCATTCCCCAATTAACTGCAATTGCCGGGGCTGGGTTAGGCCAAAGCCATGAGCCAGGAGCTTCATCTGGATCTCCCATGTGGATGGCAAGGGCCCAAGGACTTGGGCCATCTTCTTCTGCTTTCTCAGGCACATTAGCAGGGAGCTGGATTGGAAGTGGAGCAGCCAGGACTTGAAGTGGCACCCGTATAGAATGTTGGCACTGCAGACAGTGGCTTAGCTGACTGTGCCACAGTGCCAGCCCCAAGATTCGCCTATTTTGTGTCTTTCTTGAGGACATGGATGATGACTATTTATCATTACCCAGAAGCTCCTGACTCCTGTCTTTGTATCAGCTCAGCTCCGGCCAATGTGGTCATTTGGGGAGTGAATCAGCAGTTGGAAGCCCTCTCTGTCTCTCTCTCTATCTCTCTGTCTCTCTCTTTCTCTCTAACTCTGCCCTTGAAATAAATGAAAATAATTCTTTAAAAAGAAAAAAAAAAGGAATTTATTGGAGAATGTGTTCTGCTGCTAAGTAGACTTTTTAAAATTTGTTTACTCTTTTGAAAGGCAGAGTTACATAGAGAGAAGGAGAGATAGAGAAAGAGAGATTTACCCACTGGTTCACTTTCCAGATGGCCACAATGAACCAGTACCCATATAGGATGCCAATGTCACAGACGATGGCTTTACCCACTACACACAGTCCCAGCCCTCCAACTAAATGGATCTTAAAAGTACAGAACATGATCTTTTTTTCCCCAATCCATCTCCTTCAAATTTGAAATTCAAGAACAGCTGACTCTTGAAAAGACTGGAAGTGTACACATTCAAGTTATAGCTTTCAATAAAAAGTTTTTGTTTGTGGGTTTGTTATATTTTTCTTTGTAAATCACCTTTCTGTTTTCACTCAATTCTGGCTCATACAATTTCCTTAAGCAGAAATTAAGATGTCTATATGCGATCTGTGTCTGGACTCCCAAATTGCACCATATATGTTGTAGAGCCAGGATTTTTAGGTATTTTTATTTATTTAAATTTATTTAAACGTTTATTTACTTCTATTAATTGAGAGAGAGAGAGACAGAGACAGATTTTCCATCTTCTGGCTTACTTCCCAAATGCCTGCAATAGCCAGAGCTGGGCCAGGCTGGAGCACGGAGCCAGGAACTCAATCCAGGTCTCTCATGTGAGTGGCAGAGACTTAGGTGCTTGAGCCATCACTTACTGCCTCTCAGGATGTGCATTATTAGCAGGGAGCAGAGTTGAGGCTCGAATCCGGGCATTCCAGTATGGGACGTAAGCATCCCAAGAAGTGTCTTAAGTACTGCACCAAATGCCTACCCCTTTTGGTATTTTTAGACAATGATATTTAAAAAGTTGAATGGCTTAAACAATTTCACCAAAATAAGTGTGTTAACAGCTTAGATTGTATCTGCATCTTTTGAGACTTAACTGACTTTGAACTCAACTTTATTTGAACATATTTTCTCACATTGTTCATGGTAGTTAAATGTTATTTGCAAGAGTGAAACATCCTGAAATAGACTGAAAAAATGTGAAGATTCTTGCAATATAGTGTTTGAGTTAGGAAAAGAGACATCATAAAGGGAAAAAATGAATGTCAATGTCCTTACACCCTGTAAAACTGATTCTGACTGAAATAAGTTGCCAGCTTACCTGACACATTAGGAATGAGCCAAAATTGTGGTTTATTGTTGTCCACAAATTTAAGTCAGAGTCTTTATTCCTGAGATCCTGAGATTTTTTGGAACTCCAGATTACTTTACAAATTGAGAGAAGGAGCAAAAAGATCTTCATCAGAAACCACTCCATCTATTAGTGAGTCTTCTTGTCTGTATAGTTTCGTTGTAGAAAATTGTTGACCTCTTCTAATATTTTTGCTTATTGATTTGTGTATAGGTTTCACTGTCCAACCTGGAGGCCGTTGGAGTTTAGAGGTGGGACAGGTGTATGTCGTTACAGTAGAAGTGTTTGATAAAAGCAGCACAAAGGTCTATACTTCTAATGTGAGTCTCTCTTTTGTGCTTTTCTAGCTCTTTGAGTAACTTCTTGAATGTGCCATCTTTCTGGCCAAGAAGCCTTCTCTCTTTGTTTGCTTCCAGATTTACCCTTTAAAGTGCAAGTTTACTTTTTTTAGTTATTGTTATTAAATAGTTCCGTCCTTGAGGGATGCTAAGCTGGAAGTAGAAGATATAGTTCAGTTAGAATTATAGAAGAGTTGAAGAGGGGACCAGTGGTAAATCTGTGGAGGAAATCTTTATTCTACAACTTCACTTCAGAGGTGGTTACAAAGTTTTGTAGTGATTAGAGCAGCAGTGTGAACATCAGATGTGAAATGTTGTATTTGTTCTCCAGGGTCCTTTTTCTCCCCCTAAGAACTATCAACTTATGGAATGGCATTAAAATTACATCAAAATTTGCATACGCTTTGATTCTTGTTATTCGTGATGGATCTTTCAAAAACTTAGTACCATTTTAAATTACATCTTCCCAACTTCGAATTTCCATGAGGCAAAGATTGTGTTTTCATTTCTTTATATGCTGACTGCATGGACATTGTTTTATAAATGCTTTGTGATGAAGATGGCTTTAGGGGAAGAATGTATCTTCAGGTTTGTGTTGCTGTTGGGCTGACTTTCAGAATCTCAGGATTACATACGACTTTCCAAAGGAGTACTTTGAAGAGCAACTAACTTCTGTGAATGGATCTTACCATGTAGTCAAAGCCTTGAAGAATGGTGTTGTGGTGATAAATGCATCCCTGACTTCCATCATTTCCCAGGTAGGAAGTAAAAGAATGGTCTGTGTATCCATAGAGCACAGAAGAGGGTTGACAGACTTGCCAATTTGCAAGTAGACATACCTGAGGTCTTTGAAAACATCACTGAAAATGTACATTATGATAAAACCATATATGGATTTCTAAAAGTTTTTGCACTAAAGTAAACCTGTCTTTTATTCCATTTTCCCATAAATTTTTTTTGAAAAAGATTTATTTATTGATTTGAAAGGCAGAGTCACAGAGAGGCAGATGCAGAAGGAGAGAGAAAGAGAGAGGGACCCTCCATCCTCTGGTTCACTCACCAAATGGCCGCAACTGCCAGAGCTGAGCCAATCCAACGCCAGGAACCAGGAATTTCTTCCAGGTCTCCCATGTGGGTGCAGGGGCCCAAGCACCTGGGCCATCCTCTATTGCTTTCTCAGGCCACAGCATAGAACTGGATCGGAAGTAGAGCAGCTGGGACTTGAACTAGCGCCCATATGGGATGCTGGCATTGCAGGCAGCAATCTTACCCACTACGCCATAGCGCTGACCCCTCTCATAAACTTTTTAAAATAATATTTATTTATTTGAAAGGGAGAGTTACAGAGAGAGAGAGAGATCTTCCATCCACTAGATTTTCCATCTATCACTCCCCAAATGGCCACATCAGCCATGGTGGGGCCAGGCTGAAGTCAGGACCTGGAACTCTGTCCAGGTCTCCCAGGTGTGTGCACTTGGGCCATCTTCCACTGCTTTCCCAGGTGCATTAGCTGGATCAGAAGTGGAGCAGCCAGGACTTGAACTGGCACTCATATGGGATGCCTGCACTACAGGGCTTCACTATGCCATAGAGCCAGCACCCCCTTCCCAAACTTTCTGAAGTAACTTTGTATGGCATACACCACCTTTATCTCAAAAATGAAAAGGAAACTGGTAGACAGTACACTCAGTTTGTGCCTCTCCAAGTCTTCTGTCCAATCATTGTTATTCCATATCTGCATTTGTGGTCATGTGTATCATCTGGAATTCATTTAAGAAATGCACATTTTCTTTTTTTTTCCAGATCCAATTAATAGGTTTATCTATTAATTTCAAAATTTTCTCATACTGTTTGGGCAATATTTACATGCAAGTGATCCATATTCTAAGATTTTTCAAGGCAAATTTTAAGGCAAAAAGATGTTCAACTCCATAACAAGGAACAATTTTAAATCTAGAACTAAAACCAAATTCCATCAGTTCCACCATAATAAAAGTACAACAGATACACAGGTGTTCCTTGGTGGTGAAGAAGGGAAAATGCACATTTTTATAGGCGCATTTCCACATGTCATTGGCTCCACAGAGAGAACTTTTTATTCTAAAAATTGAGAGGGTTATTATGTCAATTTAGCCAAACCCCCAACATTGAAATTTTGCAATTCCAGGATTTTTACTATTGTAAATGGCATAACTGAGTATCTCTGACAGTTTTTCCTTTTGGTTAATTTCCATATGGTATAATGCCAGAAATAGATACGGAGTACAGGGATGAGGAACGAACTGTTTCTAATGCCTCAGAAATACATAAGTATACTGATTTTTTAAATTAATTTATTTGAAAGAGTGAGAGAGAGAGATATTCCATCTGTTGGTTCACTCCTCAAATAGCTGCAATGGCCAGGGGTGTGCCAAGCCGAAGCCAAGAGCTAGGAGCTTCCTCTGGGGCTCCCACATGAGCACAGGGGCCCAGGATCTTGGGCCATCTTCTGCTTTCCCAGGCACACTAACAGGGAGCTGGATCGGAAGTAGAGCAGCTGGGACTTGAACTGGCACCCATATGGGATGCCAGCACTGCAGGCTGTGGCTTAACCTGCTGCACCACAGCACCAACCCCCTGATTTTTTTGTTCTTGTTGTTTTTGTTTTCAAGAAAAGTGTGCTTTTGGTTTTTTGAGGGGAATTTTTTTTAAGATTTATTTATTTATTTGAATCTAAGAGTTACAGAGAGTGGGAGAGGCAGAGAGAAAGAGAGATCTTCCATGTGCTGGTTCACTCCTCAGATGTCCATAATGTTCAGGGCTGGACCAGATTGAAGCCAGGAGTCAGGAACTTCTTCCAGGTTTCCCACATGGGTGGCAGGGGCCCAAGCACTTGGGCTGTCTTCCACTGCTTTTCCCAGGCCATCAGCAGGGAGTTGGGTCGGAAGTGGAGCAGTATCCACATGGGATGCCAGCATAGCAAGCAGTGGTTTTACCTGTTATGCCAGCCCCAAGGTGAGTTTTTAAAAATACTTATTTATTTGTTTTCTTTTTTTAAAAAAGATTTATTTATTTTTTTATTTGAAAGTCAGAATTACACACAGAGAGAGGAGAGGCAGAGAGAGGTCTTCCATCTGATGGTTCACTCCCCAATTGGCCGCAACGGCTGGAGCTGCACCGATCTGAAGCCAGGAGCCAAGAGCTTCTTCCAGATCTCCCACATGGGTGCAGGGGCCCAAGGACTTGGGCCATCTTCTACTGCTATCCCAGGCCACAGCAGAGAGCTGGATCAGAAGAGGAGCAGCCGGGACTAGAACCGGCGCCCATATGGGATGCCGGCGCTTCAGGCCAGGGCTTTAACCCACTGTGCCACAGAGCACCGGCCCCTCAAATTAAAATTCATTCATTTTTTTACTATCTTCACTTTTTTCACCTAGACTTTCAAGGCAGGTTGCTGCCATTCTTTTTTTTTTTTTTTTTTTTTTGAAAGGTAGTGGGCCGGTGCTGTGGCTTAGCAGATAAAGCCGCTGCCTGCAGTGCTGGCATCCCGTATGCTCCACTTCCCATCAAACTCCCTGCTAATGCTCCTGGGAAAACATGCATCCATGTAGGAGACCCGGAAAAAGCTCCTGGCTCCTGACTTCAGATCAGCACAGCTCCGGCTGTTGGCAGCCATCTGGGGAATGAACCAGCAGATGGAAGACCCCTCTCTCTCTCTCCACCTCTGCCTCTCTGTAACTTTGTCTTTCAAATAAATAAATAAATCTTAAAAAAAAAAAAAAAGGCAGTTAAAGAAAAGCACAGAGAGAGAGACAGAGAGAGAGAGAGAGACAGAGAGAATTGGCCCGACAGCTTCTCTAACTTCAGGTCTTGTCACTTTCCCTTTCCTGCGCTTTAGAAATACTGACCTTTCAAGTTCCTAGAAAATGTCTTGTTCCTGTTTATCTCTAAATTTTCAGTTGTTGTGGTTTCGGTTTCTATAAACCAAGGGTGGCATATTTTTTTTCCTGCCAAGGGCCATTTGGGTATTCGTAACATCATTAGCAGATGATACAAAATTATCAACTTAAAATTAGCCTGTTATAGATTCATTAAATTTCAAATACTGCCTACAGGTGCCTCGGCAGGGCCAGACCAAATGATTTCCAAGGCCTGTGGGCCAGATGCTCCTCACCCTTGCATAAATGCACTTCCTTTAGTCTACAATACTTTCTCTCTGCCCACATAAAATTTCATAATCACCACACTTTTTTTTTTTTAGACAAATGGTTTACAAATATTCTCTTCCATGCTGTAGTTTTCTCCTGGTCTGGCTCTTTTTAAAAATTTTTAGTTATTTTTATTTGAAAGGCTGAAACACACACACAGAGAGAGAAAGAGATCTTCCATTCCCTGGTTAATTTCCTAAATGTCTACATGGGATGCCCATGTGGAATGCCGGCACTGCAGGCAGTGGCTTTACCTGCTATGCCACAGAGCCGGCCCTGGTGATCACCTGCTGCCTTCCAGGGTGCACATGACCTGGAAGCTGGAATCAGAAATGGAGCTGAGACTTCGAGCCAGGCAAGCATCCCATTCCTGTTTTCTTGACACAGATGTTTGGTGGACAAGAATTTTAAATTTTGATGAGGTCCAATTTAATTTTTATTGTTATTTTTGTTGATTCTTGCTTTAGGTCATGAAGATTTGCCCCTATGTTTTCTTCTAGGAATATTATAGTCTTAGCTCTTATATTTAGGTCTTTTATACCTTTTCAGTTAATTTTTGTATATGCTCATCATTTTGATTTTCTTCTCATTTTCTTTTTTTTATTGTTAATTTCTTAATGGATAAGGATTAATGGTTGCTGCCAGTGCTGTGGCACAGTAGGCATGGTGCAGGCATCCCATATGGGCGCCAGTTCTAGTCCTGGCTGCTCCTCTTCCTATCCAACTCTGCTATGGCCTGGGAAAGCAGTAGAAGATGACCCAAGTCCTTGGGCCCCTGCATCCGCATGGGAGACCCAGAAGAAGCTTCTGGCTCCTGGCTTCAGATTGGCACAGCTCTGGCTGTTGTGGCCATTTGGGGAGTGAACCAGCAGATGGAAGACCTTTCTCTCTGTCTCTCTCTCTCACTGTCTGTAACTCTACCTCTCAAATAAATAAAATCTGCAGTGCCAGCATCCCATATGGGTGCCGGTTGGAGTCCCGACTGCTCCCCTTCTGATCCAGCTCTCTGCTATGGCCTTGGAAAGCAGTGGAAGATGGCCCAAGTGCTTGGGCCCCTGCACCCACGTTGGAGACCTGGAGGAGGTTCTTGTCTCCTGGCTTTGGATTGGCCCAGCTCCGGCCATTGTGTCATTTGGGGAGTGAACCAGCAGATGGAGGACCTCTCTCTCCCTCTTTCTCTCTTTCTCTCTCTCTCTCTCTCTCTCTCTCTCTCTCTCTCTGTCTCGCTGCTTCTGCCTCTCCGTAACTCTGCCTTTCAAATAAAATCTATTTTTAAAAGATTTATTTATTTATTTATTTATTTGAGAGGTAGAGTTACAGACAGAGAGAGGGAAAGACGGAGAGAGGTCTTCTTTCCACTGTTTCTCTCCCCAAATGACTGCAACGGCTGGAGCTGGGCTGATCTGAAGTCAGGAGCCAGGAGCTTACAGCAGAGAGCTGGATCAGAAGAGGAGCAGCTGGGTCTCAAATCAGCGCCCATATGGGGTGCTGGGCCTCAGGCAGTGGCTTTACCCACAATGCCACAGCGCTAGCCCCACAAGACATTTTCTAAAATTGTAACAATCGGGGCC